GATATAAAATCAATAGACGTTTCTGCTTTTTCATAATTCTAAAAATTCTCTGACATGACTCACGATAAAAATAAATTTTTTTCTTTTATGGAAACTCCCTAAGACTTATAGTATTTTTTATATCTCCATTAAAAATACTGTAAATCTATCAAAAAACATTGTAACTGAAACCCAATGAAAACTAATTTATATAAAAATAAAATTTTAGATGATTATCCTTTTTTGTTTAGGAACAAAGTTAATAAAATAAAATAAAAAATTCTTATATCAATTATAATAAATTTTTTTTAAAATATGGTAAATCTATTCAGAAATATTGTAATTAAGGAATTAGACCAATTATCCAAAGTCGATGGACCAAAGTTACTATTGTGTTCTTTGAGAAATATTAAACAACTGAAGAAGAATTAAAAAAAAATGTTTTTCTAAAAAAATATTTGTCACCAATTAATGCAAAAAAAAAAGTAAAAAAAATAAATATACAAAAATATTAACTTGCCTGTTGAGGGTGGAGCTGAGTCCAAGATGTGTGTTGTAATCCGCTCATGTTTGGTGACTGCCAACCTCAACAAAACAAGGAAGCTTCCAAATCCATGTCCAAAGCACCACCTCCTCCTCCTCCCCTCTGTCCGGGCCCCGTCGTTTATCTCTCCTCCAACCTCCCTCTCTTCTGCTCTCCTCTCTATTCTCGTCGCTCTCGCCTTCCTTCAGATTCGGAAGCAATTCATAATTCTTGCCTAGTATGCCACCGACGAGCTGACGGCGGAACAAATCGGAGAGCAGAAGCAGATCGAACGGAGGTGGGTTAGGCAATGAAGCAAACGGCGGGGCAGCATCCGAACCGCCGGCCATACAGCGCCGCCGTGCCGGGAGAGGCAGCCGCCCTCAGGCCCCCGAGCTTCCTCTTCTGGTCCGCCGTCCACGTCCTCTGCTGCCTCGTCTCCGCCGCCCTCGGCTTCCGCTTCTCCCGCCTCCTCTTCCTCCTCCTCTTCTCCCCTGCATCCCACCATCACAACCACCACCACCACGTCCACCTCGTCCGCCAACCCCCCGCCGCTGTCATCCCCTTCCCCCCTCCGCCCCCGCCGGCCGTAGCCGGCCGCGTCGGCGTCGGCCGTCACGGCATCCGCGTGCGGCCGTGGCCGCGCCCGGACCCCGCCGAGGTCGCGCGGGCCCACGAGATCCTCGTCCGCCTGCAGAAGGAACAGCGCCTCCGGTACGGAGTCAAGGATCCCCGCCCCGTCGTCGTCGTCACCCCGACCTACGCCCGCACCTTCCAGGCCCTCCACCTCACCGGCCTCCTTCATTCCCTCATGCTCGTCCCCTACCCCCTCACCTGGCTCGTCGTCGAGGCCGGTGGCGTCTCCAACGAGACCGCAGCCCTCCTCGCCCATTCCAGCCTCCCGGTGGTCCACCTCCCCTTCCACGAGGACATGCCCGTTCTCTGGAACGACCGACACCGCTTCGAGGCCCGGATGCGCCTCCGCGCCCTCAGGTCCGACCTGTAGCGCCGTGTCTTCCTTTCCCCCTTACCCAAAATCATGTTTTTTCTGGATTCTAAACCGTGCTTTCTGGACGCAGAGTGATCAGGGAACGGCGGTTGGACGGCATCGTTGTGTTCGCGGACGACAGCAACGTCCACACCATGGAGCTATTCGACGAGATTCAAAAGGTGCAGTGGATGGGTGCGCTATCGGTCGGAATCCTGGCACATTCTGCGGCTCCCGACGCAACGGCTAAAAGGCAGCAGAGAGCAAGCGAGCAGGAGACCTCGCCATTGCCGATCCAAGGCCCGGCGTGCAACTCCTCGGGCCAATTGATCGGCTGGCACACCTTCAATTATCTGCCGTATGCCAAAAAAGCCGCCACCTTTGTCGGCGATGGGGTGACTGTGCTGCCGACGAAGCTCGAGTGGGCTGGATTCGTGCTGAACTCGAGATTGCTGTGGAAGGAGGCGGAGGGGAAGCCGAATTGGGCGCGTGATCTTGATGAGGTGGGAATTAGCGGGGAGGAGATTGAGAGCCCGCTGGATCTGTTGAAGGATGCTTCGTTCGTGGAGCCACTTGGGAACTGCGGGAAGAAGGTTCTGCTGTGGTGGCTTCGGGCCGAAGCTCGCTACGATAGCAAGTTCCCTAGTCGGTCAGTATCGCGAATCTCCTTTATGATAACATATAATGGGTAATGTATTTTCATTACGTGATGCCTTTCACTACTAATTTTTTCCAAAATATACTTACTTGCACATGAGATTGAAGTAGTTAAACAACATAAGAACAAATACATATTGTATAATGCTTTTATTCAAGAAAAAATTAAGGTCTCATGGGAAGATATTGGTTCTTCAATGCTCAATCACAACAAAATAAGATAATCAAATCACTAGTTTTAAACACTGAACACAATGATCTCTCTGGCACGGATGCCGTGGGCTTGGTTGGTATACTAAAACTTGTAATTTGATAATTCCATTTGTTTTACTCTATATGTTCAGATCAGATTATAAATTTAGATCCTCTTGTAAACTAGTCGTCATAGATCACTGGTTTGTGTTTTTGACAGCTCCTTTAATAAGCCGAGTCAATGTGATTTGTCACACATGAGGACAGCCAATATTTCACCCACATTGGCATATGTCTGATACGTAGAATAAAAGAAAATCTATGTTATCAATATATATAAAAATATAACTTTTTTTTTTGAAAAATAATCATCTGCTGACCGTTTATATTGATTCTAGAATGTAACTCTGTAACGGTAGATATGATGTTTAATTTACATAAAGAATTGCATAGCAATTCATAAAATAAATGCTTAGCAAACACGATGCACTATAATTGATCTCAAAAGAGAGGATTTTTTTGTTTAATGTCGAGCAAGACAAATTGCTAAATGCTTGTTAGACCCTCTCCAAATTATAGTGCTTGCAAAAACTGCATATATTATATTGCCTTAAAAATGGAATATTCCTGTGAAAATTCACTCAACTGCTGTTGCAGATTTTGTTGGTTGTGTTGCTGTATGAGGAAAACTTTGTCTTATGTTACCTTATAGGGCATTTTGGCTTGTGTGCAGATGGGTGATAGATCCTCCTTTGGAAATTGTTGTTCCTGCAAAGCGAACTCCATGGCCTGATGCACCTCCTGATCTCCCATATCAAAGGATTGCAAATGAAGGTGGTCATGTTGAAAAGCATGTTTCAAAGAAAGTTCGATCTTACAGATCAAAACGCAGCTCTCGCAATAAAAAGAAGCATGAGACACATGTAGATACACAGGTTTCCGAGATGTCCAGTGCACAAGAGAAGTGAGAGTCCAGCATAAGTATTTCCCGACACATTTCTAAGCGGCAACAGTGTGAAGAGGCTTGATTTTATGCCATTTAAAAGTAATATTGTCTTGCACACGGAGAGGCAACCGAAATTCCATTGGAAGTAGCTTCACCAGGATTTGTAAGCTCCGGAAGGTGTCCAGCATTCAAGATATTGTTGTATCAGAGAGTAACAATTTGGTTCATTGATCTTCCTGGATTTGCTGATGGTGCTTCTCTCATTCACGAAGATGATCATGGAATGTAGGTTTACCTTCCGGTGATGTGGTTTAGAAGATGCTTTTCTACATGTTGCTTGTAGGTGAAATTTTAGCAGATATAAATACCAGGTTTGTTCTATTGTTTGTCGGATTCATCCAGCAGCACAATTTACCCATGACTGCTGTTGATCGACATCCTTGAGCTTTTAAGTACTGTTGTAGCGATCTTCTGGCCTCCTTTTATCGTGTAATACATCGAAATTATGTTGATTTTCCATTCTCTAACACGACATTTATGCTATTTTTACTTTTTTACTTTCATTGCTTCAAATGCTGGCTCAAGAAGCTGCTGTTCTTAGTGAAGACCACAACTTGGGCCATCATTCTCTGTTGGAAGAACTGTAGTTTGATGAAGCTTCGGTCATTGCTACTTAACGCTAAAACTGATGCGTGTTTGCCTCTGAACTTGGCAGAGCCATATTCCAGAATAGTGATGTTGAAGACCACGAAGAAGACAACAGTCAAAATCGTACGTCATTTCCAGCAGTTCCTTTTTGTGTTATCAACTCTATCTACATTGGATTTGCTCTCTCTTAAATGCTGAAGAAGAAGAATGAACTCCATCGGATCCCTCCCTGCTTTTCTGCATCACGAAGAACCTCGTTGTGATCCCAACAAAAGAGACAAAAGATCACGGCTCTCCTGCCTCATATTTTTCTGCTACTGTCGTCTTATGTGTTGGTGAATTGGGTGTCACAGAAATCACTACATTAAGTTACCAATTTTGTGACGATCGGACGGAGGATGAACAATAATTTTTCTTTGGCTACGATAAGATCATTTAATCCCGAGTACGGGAACCAATGACTTATAAGTCTCGGATCTTTTTTACTTTTAAAGATACTTTTTAGAGTTCACATGTTTTAGAAAAAATAAAACTGATTTTATCAAATCTAATCTTGTAAAGTTTAGGTATAACATATTCCAATTAAAATAGATAGTTTATATTAAAAATAATAACATAAATTTTAGATTTTTTTAACATGTATATAATTAACTAATAGTTAAATGACTCTCACCGCCAAAAATTAACTATAAGAAAACATATCAAAATTTTAGATTATACAATAAATATTTACACTAAATCTAAATATTAATTGGAAAAATTACTAAAATCACTTACTTTAGAGGATATAATTATATGTGGCTTATTTTTTTTCTCTATTATAAAGCCTCAAAATGTTTTTGTTTCTTTCTTAATGCAATAAAAATGGTGTACTAATAATGTTCCCTTCCAACAATTATAAAGCCGCATAGTTTAGCGGCTTTAACGCCATGTTTTCCTCCTCCAAGAAAACGACAACAGAAACGAGCCCTAAAAATTATAATAACGAAGACAAAAAAGGGAAATAATAAATAGAATAGTAATAAAAAGGTTGCGAATGGCTCCGCGAAACCCCCGACTCTCCGCCAATACAATCCTTCTCCTATTTTATGTCTTCGCCGATACTTACAACCACTCCCCAGCCTCCACAGCACAAGAAGAAGAAGAGGAAGAAGAAGAAGAGAAGAAGACAGCAGCAGCAGACTGTGCTGAATACGAAGACAAAATAGGATAACGGATAGCAGACAAGGATGGAGAAGAGGGTGCTTCTCCCTCTTCTTCTCTTCGCGCTTCCACTCGCTTGTAGTGTTGCGTTTTAGTATAATGAATAGAGCATTCCACGTCTTCTTCCGGTTGGTAGAAGAAAAATGGCTCTTTTATCTCCTTTCGATCATCTTTATTGTCAAGAAGAGAACCTGGAGTTGGAAGAAGTAGAAGAAGGGATGGCACCTGTGCTGCCACTTCCAGAGTACTGCGAGACCGAACGCCATGTCCTCTTGGGGGCGGAGGCTGAGGCTGAGGCAGAGGAGGAGTGGACAGAGGTGCTCTGTTCTCTCGTGGCGAAAGAAGGGGAGGCGCTGCCCAAGCTCGTCCCTGACGGTGGCGTCGGCTCCTACCTCCGGTCAGCGAGGAAGGAGGCGGTGGAGTGGGTCGCGCGCGCCGCCGCGCGCCACGCCTTCTCCGCCCTCACGGCTCTGCTTGCCGTGAACTACTTGGACCGGTGCTTCCTCTCCTGCGGCGCGGCGGACGGCGGGCTCCTTAGGCTCCAGGACGACAAGCCGTGGATGGGGCGGATCGTGGCCGTGGCGTGCCTCTCGCTGGCGGCGAAGGTGGAGGAGACGCGCCTTCCTCTCCTGCTCGACCTCCAGGTGCCTTTGCCACCAGAGGCGCCAACGGAGGAGGAGGGCGGGTACGTGTTCGAGCCCAAGACGATCAGGCGGATGGAGCTTCTGGTGCTCTCCGTTCTGGGCTGGAGGATGAACCCCGTCACCCCCCTGTCTTTCATCCACCACCTCCTCCCTCAGCTCTGCTCAAAGGCCAAAATCGCCGACGCTGACTTTGCCGCCGTCGGCATTGCCGCACGAACCCGGGCATTGATGAGAAGGTGTGAAGCGGCTCTTCTATCGGTAATAGCCGGTAGGTTGTCATCAAAATGCTTCCTTTAAACCGATGCCTCGATCTCCTCGTGCCGCCATTGTCCTAACGCTTGGTTTGTTTCACGAAGACAGGAGATGGGTCCAGTATCCGTCGTCGGTCTGGGCTGCGGCGGCGCTGCTCCAGGCGACGGGGTCCGGCGATGGAGGCACCGCAGTGGTGAAATCTCAAGAGGCCCACCGCCTCATTTCCCTCCTCAACACCCCAAAGGTTGGATCTTTTTGTTCCTTTGTTCCTTGGTTCTGTCTCATACTCACTAGTGCTCTGTACTCTGCTAATGGGCAAAGCACTCTTTAGGAAAAGGTGGGGGAATGCTCTCAGCTACTTCTGGAATCAGTGGGCACTGCCATTGTTGGCCACAAGCGCAAGCATTCGTCCTCCGCTTTCTACCATCATTCATTGCCACCCAGTCCCAGTGGGGTGATCGGATCCTGCTTCAGCTGCGAGAGCTCATGCGATTCAAGGCCGATGTGGTCGTCATCCACGTCGTCCTCACCCGAGACTCCTTCCAAGAAACCCAATCGCTTCGCAGATGAGGGAGCCAGAGGCGAAGGTCCCGATTCTTAATATACGTTAAGGTTATGCTTATGGATCTTAGAAGCAGACTGTCTTCCTTCTGCCAATGCTCGGAGCTCCGTGGGAGCGATTTTGGTTGGCAATCGAACATTGTGGAGGAGAAAACAGAGAACCAATGCACTGCTGCTATCGTTTCCTCCTGTTCATCTTATCCTCTCGGTTCTCGTCGATGCATTGCTCCCCTCATTGCATGAAATACCAATCGCAACATTTACGAGCGGCCATGTATATCCTTTTTTTCCCCATATCTACCATGCATTAACAAACACTGGTCGCTTGTCTGTATGAGCCCGCCGTATTCTCTCAGTCATTCAACATTCTTCGTCCCATTCCTGACACGAAGAAAAAGGGAAGTAGAGTCAACAACTACCACAACAGCATATACCACTTGTCTGTGTACATCTCCGGCCATGCGTATCGACACTCTTCAGCATTCAATGCTCGGCGTTACTCACCGAGAGTCAGCACACTGCATCTTAGTTTAGAGAGAGAGAGAGAGAGAGGGGATGGGAGACTTAAACAAAGATTGGGAGTTGTTTTCATGCGAAGCGGACAATTGACACGGAGTATAGCGTCTCTTTTCTTGGGAAGATTCGCTTGGACTTTTGTAATCTTTGACCTTGATGAGAGCATTATGCTCAAGACCCAAGTCTCCATCGATTTCTGAATCCGTCACTTAATTCAACCCTAAAACAGAGTCGTTCTCGTTCATCTTCGTCTTATCTTACTAAACGACACCTATAAGGTCCTCCTCCACGTGATGCTTCGGTCTAACTTTCCCTCACCTTGTACTGAGTCATGTGCTTGTCATTAGTCGTTCCGAGGCATGAACCACCACCTTCCTCTGCGCCATCGCTTAGCTTCCATCAAGCAAAAGCTTCCTTCGTTCCATTACAAGTCATTCATAGACTCCATAATAAAAAGGCCAAGGGAGTGAAAGGACCAATGAGTGCGTCCTCGAGTCCTGCGTCCTTTCTTTCTTTTCTTCGGCTCCTACCGAGACGAGGAAGGGAGGCGGACGAAGGCGGACAGGATGGGAGAGGGCGAGTGGAGTCTGCGGTGGACTGCACAAGGTGGATTGCTTCTGATCTCTGATCTCAGAACTGTAGCAGAGGAGTGCCTGGGCTTTCTGCTAACACACTCGAGTAGTGAGGCCACCATGCGCGCACCTCTCCACTCCTGAAACCTGCGCAGAATCATCATCAGAACGTAGCTCAATTAACACGTCGATTTGGGGCCAAACTCTTTCCTTGGTTTCAATGATCATGCTATGAGCATGGCATGACAGTACTACCAATCTGGTTGGCACGACAAAAGTACGGCTGGCATTCAATTATCAATAGATTAAGAAGTACTTTTCATATGCTTTCTTAGTGCTTCATGTGATCAAGCAATCAATCGATGACAATGATACAGTATATGAGATCACAGCAACGGCTGTCAGAGGAAAAAATCTACGTATATCTTTTCCCCCTATACATTAAACGTCGACAGATCTCTAAAATGATCTCCAAAATAATAAAGCTTAAATGAAAAGAAAAAAGAGCACTGCATAAGAAACAAGCAGACAGTCATGCAGAAAAGTCTGGCCAAAGTGTTGAGAAGACAAAAAAGAGATATGAATAGGAGGAGGGAGATCCCCACTCAGCCATCCTCCTCAAAAGTCTGATGGGGGATGAAGCTGTGAACCAGTCTTTGAATTGGGAGGGCTCTTCCAGCTTTCTTCACTCATCTTTTCGAGGCGTGGCTTTCTTCTTTGTCCCGCAGAAGAAGCATCAAAAGCTCACCCCCATACCCCACACAATAATTGTGGAATAATATGATGGCCAACTCCCTTTTTTTGACTCGGTCCTGCACGCTCCTTCCTTCTCTGAAGATAATTATGTTCATGTTCTATTCCTTCAATGCTACCCGTATTCCTACTTCCATATACAATTATATGTTGCCTATAAAGAGCATTAATCTCTCTCTCTCTCTCTCTCTCTCTCTCTCTCTCGCGCGCGCGCGCGCGCGCGTAAATGCCCACACATGGGTGTCCTACCTTTGCTTTATCTGTTCAGGCTCCTGCAATGGAGAAAAGCTTCCAATGGATGAAGTGTTTAAACATGCATGATAAAGAAGGTGGAGCTGAATTCTTGAATCAAACGAGAAATGAAGCATGTTTGCTCTGTTGGCTTATTGAGCCTTTAGACATCAAGAAATGAGTAGGGTATGGTATGAAGGAAGGAGTGTAATCGATCGTGAAATGAAAGAGATCACGCAGGGGTGTAGTGGTTGGCTCGGAGGGTCATGCTGTTCACGGGGTTGTGAGCCAGGCGTGGATACTGTCGCCTCCATTTCTGCCAAAGTCAGTACCCACTGCAGGCGACGAGGAAACTTCATACAATGGCAAATAATGGCGCGCAAGTGTTGGCCGTCTTCCAGAGCGGGAGAACGAGGCTTACTTAATGTGGTCTGACGAGCTGTCCTCCTCTGCTGTCCCACTCCCACAACACTCTCCATCCACGAGCTGCTCATCGGCCTGGCGTGAGTTCCTTCAGGGCAGCGATGCCCCTCTCTCTCTCTCTCGATGTGTGGAGGTGTTGAGACATGAACAGGGTACACTGGCGGCCATGCATGTAATGGAAGAAAGGTGAGCAGATGAGAGAGAAGAGAGGGACTACCACTATGGGGGTTCTGCGCAAGCACTTGGCGCACTCTGGGGCCAGTTGCATACTTTGCATGACTCCTGGGAAGGATATGATTGCTTGCCGGTAAACGTGAGTTTTAGGGGGGGTTTGAGGCTGCGCTGGTAGAGTAGTAGTTGGAAGGCTTTATAGAAGGTCCCATTACTGGTCCAAACGCAGGCCATCATTTTCTCAGGTAAGCCTCACAAAGAATGAACCTCTGACATCAAACACCACAGTGGACGCTTCAACAAATTCATGGAAGCAAAATAAATAGATAAATAAATAAAACTTGAAATTCAAATTTTGGTTGCTTGTTTGGTGAGGTGGAGTCAGCTCAACCAAGTCCGAGTCTGTAGCTAGTCATGTTCGGAAATCGCACATGAGCATGATGATATCAGTGAAAGAGGATGCTAATTTAGCGTCGATTTATAAAATCTATACCGAGAGCATTTTTGATAAAATCTTTCAAAAACATATAGTAATTTTTTGTACAAGACTCATAATATTTGTATTCAATCATTTCAAAAAAGTAAAAAAATTATGATATTATTTTTGAATAACTTAAAATGATCACAAAAAATCGATCCAAAATATTTAAATATATTGAAGTTAATAATGATACATCCAAACAAACCTTCTTCAATTTTAGAACTAAGCGGCTATTTGTTGAGAACCTACGCAGCATCTTCGATAAATTTGAATTAGAGATCAAGCAATGAGCAAATAATCCAAAAAAACAGAAGAAAAAAAAAAAAAAAAAAAGACGGTAGAAAAAGACAACCACTGCTTCTTTATCGGCTCACAACCGTCGACCGTCGACTGGACCTCAGCCGCAGAATAAGGTATTTACGCTGAGGATAAGCTATTTTATGTGTTCCTTCGTATAAATAAGGTTTAGTTGCTCGTTTCTATGACGATGGTAACGATGTAACACACATTAAAGGAAACTGTGTTAGGCGGAAACTACGCAACCGTAATGAGAACTTTATTGTGCATTTACGGACATATCCTTGTACAGTTTGGAAATAGCGGTATTTGGCCTTACAGATTTTGGTACATTCTTTATATAAACCCTTCAGGGGTATGGACGAACTATTTAAGCTACAAGGGACAAAAAAGACAATTACTATGTAATAATACATGGCGGCGCCTCCTGATCTTTTTAACAACCTGTTACCGGCCGTAGCTGGCATCGCCACCGACATGACCATCACCGTCGGACAGCAGCTGCTGCTCGTCGTCTTCGTCTTGGGCTTCCTCCTCCTCCTCCTCTTCCCGCTCCACATCGTATCGCCGGTTGCCGCCACGGCCGACCTGAGCTACCCGGAGGCGACGGAATTTGGCGTCCGGGAGGATCTGGTGGTGATGAGGAGGGAGGAGTACGACGAAGGGCGGATCCTGGACATCACCCACGCGTACCACGAGGACATGCCGGCGGGAGGGACGGAAGAGGGGCTCGGCCGCTTCCTCTGGCTCGCTAAGTCCATGAGGAACGGATCCCTCGCCAACAGCTCCGTGATGAAGTTTTCGGTCCACTCCGGCACCCACGTCGACGCCCCTGGTCACCTATTCCAGCACTACTTCGACGCCGGCTTCGATGTCGACTCGCTCGACCTCGGCGTCCTCAATGGTATTGTGCCCTTGATGATTCCTCGTTGTGTACACTTGTGATGCTTATCGATCTCTGGTACCTGTCGAGTTTGGAATCGAGCGATGAAGAAATGGATCGAGATAGAGAACTCCTCTTTGTCAATCCTTCTAGTGAGAGGAGCCCCTCTACCCCTCCTCTTCCATAAAGAAAAGGAAAGGGAAAACATGCTACCTGGATTTTAAGGAGAGATATCGAGAGACATCAAGGGACTATTTCTCTTCTTTCTGATTCAAACATTTTATCTTTATGCTAAAATATCCTATCTTTTAATTGCATCAACGAGGGACATATTTAGTGGTTCATCCTGATGGATAGCATAGAGTAATCTAAATTACTTTTAATTCGGGAGAACGTAGGTCTTTTTCAGGTGTTCTTAATTGAAGATGAAATCTTTCGCATCTTTCTAGTAGATTATCAAGTCTTTAATTGATTTTTTCAAAAGACTTTTTTCAATGGTGCATGCTAGACGTAGTACATCATATATTCATTGTCATAGTATTCATGCATATTGTGGGTGTCAGATGAACAAAATCAAGAGGCCTTACGAAAAATATGAGATTCATGTGTAATACTCCCGTTTTATCATGATCCAGCCTCATGGAATAACTTAGCCTGTTAACTTCATTTCCGTTGAACCAAAATCATTAGTCAAGATGCTTACACTAAAGTTAAGAGTCCTCTAACTTCGTTTACGAATAGTCCTTTCCTATTCGAACCTCCCAGCATGCCCCAATATTAGGTCGGCTCTGATACAAATTGTCATAATCCAACTTGATGTATGATATAACCAAAAAAACTCTTTAATACAACATGATTCATCCAATATATATTGGTAATTACTTTCCATCCCTTTAAGGAATAACATCAGTGGTGCTGTTTACAACCAAGTGTCGGATTCCTTTGTGATGCTGTATCCAAATATTTGTAATCATGTCAATACTCTTGCTTGTAATTTGGATTATCATACAACCCATTCCAGCTTTCAGCAAGTAGATTAATAATTCGAATTAGCACTATGAAGTCATTGTCACTTACCACTGCAACCAATCTGCACTTCGCATTTCCTATCACTTTGGTAAAATCTGAATAATTTGGCCTTGTCTCATGGAATTACCGAGTGTGATACTCATGAATTGCTGGTATATGGTAAGTT